GAGAAATGGAATATTTAATGAGAAATCGGTGGGCGTGGCTTGTTTTTTCTACTGCAAGCTGATTGGATGTAGTAAAGTAGGTGTTTTATTCAGAAAGATGAAGAAAATGGTTTGGAGAGAGCTATTACAACCTAACAGACTCCTCCTGCTCACCATTTCTGTTCGATGTCCAAACTGACAGCTAGAGGGGCGTGGTTAAGCATGTTAGCCACGCCCAATACTTCAGACAGACCTAATCTGAGAATTGAACCGAAAATTCAGATTTTAGTTCAAGATTATAAGGGTAAACATTATTTTTTTTTCTTAATGACATGCACAGATGATTCATTCATCACTAGCAATGAGAGCTAACCAAATCAGTATGGTTAGTTTTGATTTCATTTGTACTTTTAAGTTTTAATTATTGAATTTTTTTAACGCCAGAACAGCTTTATGAATGATTTACACAAGACCTCATTGTGTTTGTGTTTGGTGAATGAGGATCAGTGTTCTGACAGCATGTTTTTTTGATTTAGCAGCATATTCATGAGTTTATCCATCCGCAGGCTGCTCAGCGTAAACTCCGGCAGGCCAGTACGAGTGTTAAACACTGGAACGTCCAGATGAACCGCCTGATGCACCCCATCGGCCCTGGAGGTTTGTTCATTTTTACACCATTGCTGAAAAAACAGTGAAACTATTTTTAAAATTCAATAAAAACACAATAGAAACTGTCACAGAAGTTCTAATGGTTTCCACTGCGAACATCATTAAAACTATTACAAGCCTTGAAATTTTAGCCATTAAAACTAGTACATTATTGTCACGATCACCAGCGATCCCATCCTTGCAGATCACTGGAGAGCTACACACCTGTCACTGAACTGGACTACAGATACCATCTTGCCCCTCACACACACACCAGTTCCTGATTCCCCCCGATTACACACACACAGCTGGTAGCTCTTCATTGACTGATTACCTGGACATCCAAATGCAGCGTCTTTATTATCAAGAGTAGTCAGGCAAGCAATGGTCACAAGCAGGAGCAAACGGTAGCATAAAGAGCAATCCAAAAACGTAGTCGGCTCAAAGGAGAAGAGATTGGCGGCTTACGGCATAAACAAAACACATAGTGCGCGTCAGGAAACATGGCAAGGAAGAACAAGACAAGGAAATTCATAATAATGCTACAGGTTAACAAGACTCAGCAGTAAGTGTGAGAGGTAAATCTAAAGTCCAGGTGATCAGTGGGGAAATCAGGAACTGGTGTGTGTGTAAGGTGCATGATGGTATTCGTAGTCCAGTTCAGTGACAGATGTGGAGTTCTCCAGCCATCTGCAAGGATTAGATTGCTGGTGATTGTGACAATTATTATGGTTTATACCCAGCAGGCACCTTGATGCAAAAACTACCTTGATGGTAAAACAACATCAAATTGACATCTAAAGTTGGCGTCACAAAAACACGTAAAAAGACGTTTTTTTTTATTTTAGTGGAATGTCGTTTTGACACCAAGGTAATTTACATGCATTCCAGGGATACAAACTCCAATGTAAATTTGTAATTAAAGCTGTCAGATGAATTAAACTTTTTATTATTTGTGGTGGTTAAAAGGACCGTTAAAACTGTATATGGATGTCAGATGTATGTCAAGGGTTTTGATGTCCAAATAATTAGCAGTATTGCTGTGTTCTTGATGTCGTTTTGATAGATTTATTGATTTTAACATGCCAAAAATGGAAAGGACCATTAGCTCCCATTAAACCTAATATAAATTCCATTATAACCATTAACCCTTAAAGACCTAGAGCTTATCATTGCAGTTATTACTGTAAATCATATGTTGAATATTTACTGCAAGTGTCATTTATTCATTTTCTTTTCGGCTTAGTCCCTTTATTAATCTGGGGTCGCCACAGCGGAATGAACCGCCAACTTATCCAGCACGTGTTTTACACAGCGGATGCCCTTCCAGCTGCAACCCACCACTGGGAAACATCCATAAACACTCATTCACACTCATACACTACGGTCAATTTTAGCTTACCCAGTTCACCCGTACCGCATGTCTTTAGACCCGTGGGGAAAACCCCAGCACCCGGAGGAAACCCACGCCAACACGGGGAGAACATGCAAACACACAGAAACGCCAACTGACCCAGCCGAGGCTTGAAACAGCAACCTTTTTGCTGTGAGGTGATAGCACTACCTACTGTGCCACCGCGTTCCCCGACTGCAAGTGTTGCCGTGAATATAGGCTGCTGATGTAGTATTAAAACATAAATAAGTAAATAATAGTTATTTTCATGGCAGCTGTCTCGGTTTTTAAGAGTTAAAATGATTACCAAACCATTTAAACTTCTGTTTCTGGTTTTGTTGTAGTTTAGCAGAGATTTTTGATCACAGCTTTGATCTTGACTCATTTTTCTGTCATGTTTTCCTAAAAGAAAGGCGAGCATCCTCTGGTAACCTTCTCGCTCCGCCGGTTCGCATCCCATCCGTCAGTGAGAGCGAATCCAGACCTCCAGAGAAACAAACCATCAAACAAAACAGCCTCGACTGCGGAGAAAGCAGCAGCGCGGAGAATATGGACTGCGGAAACACCGAAAACTCAGAGCCGACGGATGTTTAAGAGAGTTTAGCTTGTTGATTTTTTTAAAAGCACCAAAACAAACCCAAAAAAAGCCCCGCCTCTTTTTATACCTCTGCTATGTTTACTACTCGTGTAGCAAAATTTCTCTGGCCCAGCTCTGGCCCACACAGTTAGCTTTTGCTTGGCCCACATGCTGTAGTGTATTACGGTACCTGACTCGACCGAGTCTGGCTTCCAGACAAGAGCCAAACATAGACCATATCTGGGCCAAGTCTCAAAGCAAAGTTAACAGAGGCTGAACTGGGCCAGATATGTTGGTGTGTCACGACTGCAATGAAATTGATAAAGCCATGAAGCACTGCCCTTTAGGTGCGCTATGGGCGTGCTTTTTCTCGAAGAAACCTGATTGGTAGAATTTTTTTGCCTTTATTCAAAAATAATAAAAATGTATCAAGATAGGCCAAACCTACACGGCCCACATACCCATTATTAGCATCTGGGCCAAATGCTACATTTGATATCTGGCCCAAGTGGTGTGCCGCGTTAAAAAACGTTGCCACCTCTGACAAACCCGGGTCCTGTTTGGCCCACCTGCTTTATGACAGGGCCGGATGAATGCCTGCTGTGCCAGCTTTATGTCAAATCTGGGCCAGAATTCTTTACTACCTGGGTACATAGCAAAATTTCTCTGGCCCAGCTCTGGCCCACACAATCAGCTTTTGCTTGGCCCACATGCTGTAGTGAATTACAGTACATGACTCGACTGAGTCTGGCTTCCAGACAAGGGCCAAACATGGACCATATCTGGGCCAAGTCTCAACCAAGTTAATAACCCATAACTGTGGCTGAACTGGGCCAGATGTGTCTGGGCCAGGTGTATCACGACTGCAATGAAATGGATAAACTCATGAAGCATTGTGCTTTAGGGGTGCAATTGGCATGCTTTTTCTCAAAGTAACCTAATTGGTATTTTTTAACGCTTATTTTAAATGTGGGTCAGAGTAGGCCAGACTATCATGGCCCACATATAAATTTTTAACATCTGGGCCAAATACTACATTTGAAATCTGGCCCAAGTCTTGAGTGCTGCCTGTAAGACGGTGCCACCTCTGCCAAATCTGGGCCATGTTTGGCCCACATGCTGAATGCCTGCTGTGCCAGCTTTATGCCAAATCTGGGCCAGAACTCTTTGCTACCTGGGAAGCGACTGTATTATCATCAATAACGTTAGCTGTTCAGCACAAAAGTTCATAATATACAAAATTGTAAACAATTAAATCTTACCTACGAAATGTTCTGCCTTTGTGCTTTGTTTTCTTTGTTTGCTCGTTACTACATGTGTAGACAGCGCTAAAGTCCCGCATCTTCACGTAGCAACACTGTCTTGACTAGTGCGGTTGAATGACATTTGTGCTGGGAGCACTGTACAAATATGGCGGCGCTATTGACGCATGCTCAGGGTCCCTATGCGATATCTAGTGTATATATCTATGGCACACACATTTATATCTGACAAATCATCTTCCAAAAAGTACATCACTGAAGCACAGACTGATGGAGCGCAGGCGCACACTTTACTAAAGCTATGCATATTTTTAAAATGTAATCACATCTTGGCATTTCTATCAAGCATTTTTAACGCGGTATTCCAAAATGTGCATAACAATATGCTACAGATGGAAACTACCCACATAGCAAAATTCTCTGGCCCAGATCTGGCCCACACTATCAGCTTTTGCTTGGCCCACATGCTGCAGTGAATTACGGTGCATGATTGGACCAAGTCTGGCTTCCAGACAAGGTTTGAACATGGACTATATCTGGGCCATGTCTCAGCCAAGTAAAAAACCCATAACTGAGCCTGATCTGAGCCAGTTGGTGTGCCACAACGATAAACTGCTATTTTCTAAAAGCAACCCCTGCTAAAAAATGCAGCTTAAACCAGCCTAGGCTGGTTGGCTGGTTTTAGCTGGTCGACCAGGCTGGTTTTAGAGGGGTTTTGGCCACTTCCAGGCTGGTTTCCAGCCATTTCCAGCCTGGTCTTAGCTGGTCAGGCTGGGAGATGACCAGCTAAAATCAGCTTGACCAGCCTAGCCAGGCTGAGAGCCCAGCCAAAACCAGCTATGTCCAGCTTAAACCAGGCTGGTCAAGCTGGTTTTAGCTGGATTAAGCTGGTCATTTTTCAGCCTGACCAGCTAAGACCAGGCTGTAAATGGCTGAAAACCAGCCTGGAAATGGCCAACACCCCTCTAAAACCAGGCTGGTCAACCAACTAAAACCAGCCAACCAGCCTAGGCTGGTTTAAGCTGGATTTTTCAGCAGGGACCTGATTGGTAGAATTGTTCTTTATTTTAAATAATTATTATTAAATGTACATTAAAAGTGGGTCAAGAAAGGCCAAACTTACGGGCTCACATATACATTTTTTACATCTGGTCCAAATAAACTTGATATTTAATTTGTGCTGCCGTAAAGACGGTGCCACCTCTGCCAAACCCAGGCCATGTTTGGCCCACATGCTGTACGCCAGTGCCAGACGAATGCCTGCTGTGCCAGCTTCATGCCAAATCTGGGCCAGAATTCTTAGTCACTGTGTTTAAATGAGTTTTAGGCCTATAGTGTACATAAATAAAGCTGACATAAACTCGATGAACTTGTCTCTGAATCATAGCTGGAATCGTGACTGACTTTTAAACGTGTGCTTGTTATTGTTGATTGCTGTGATAAACTTTTTGGTGAAACTGCTGTGGTTTGACTTCCTGTTTCCTGTGTCAGCATATAAGATGCGCTCGTTTAGACAACTGCTGTCTTAGTTACTGTCATGAAGGATAATAAATGAGTAGAAAAACAACATGGGAGTCTCGACTGTTTTTTCTTTTAAGTATCATCTATATATTCTTGCTCAAAAGGTACTTTGAAAATCACTTCAGGTGGAACAAATGCCAAATATAAGCCACCTGACGTCACAAAAATAAGATATTCATTGACGTGATAAAAAATGTGAGGTGAAATATATTTTAAACAGTGTTTGGATGTTCAAAAACATTTAACAAACATTTAAATAAATCTACTTTCATCCCGGTTTCGCGGCGAACGGCGCCATCTGCTGGCGTTGACCGGAAGTCAGCTGAAAACTTTACATGTAAAAACATTTAAAAGGGAAACTAAATATTAAAATGACATTTAACAGCGCGTGTGTATTATATATGTCGTAAATGCAGAAATAGCCTCGATGAGGAGGTCGTTATAGGGTTAAATGAAACGGTCTGCGGTGACGTCATGCCAGAGCGGTGACGCGTATGACCGGAGCGCGCTCCGTCGGGACTCCCGTATGAAGATGAAGAGCGTCCCGGTAAACATGAAATACTCCCGCGCTGGAAAATAACCCCAACGGAAGGAGTTAACGGGCCTTCCAAGAGGAAAGATCTGTGAAAAAGTAAGTTTGCTTTTCCTTCGTTTGTCATGTGGAGTGGAATTCATGCGAGATTCGGGCTGTTTATGTACGGAGACCGTGAAGTTCACGTCTATGAAAAGTTTTGAAAAGAGTTTTGTGATGTCATGTAAACAGATAGATAGATAGATAGATAGATAGATAGATAGATAGATAGATAGATAGATAGATAGATAGATAGATAGATGTCGTTACACAGACAGAGAGACGGACAGTGTAGGCTTGTTGTTTGTAGGTGAAAATTGTTTTGGGGTGATTTTGGGACAGTTTGTGCTCTTGCAACACTCTCCGGCTTAAAAAACAAAAACAAAACAAAAATCTATAATAACCACCACAGATGTCTTAATAGTTTCTATTAGACATTATCACATTTTGACCATCAAAACCAGCACATTATTTTGGTTTCTAGTGTGTGTTTGGATACATTCCATTAGGATTTATTTGATTTTTAATTAAGAAATTTTACCTATTAAAGGCAAATAAATGACCAGTAGAGAGTTATGGGATTGGTAGTTTTCATTAAAACTAATTTAGAGGTAAAGTTGGTTTTATATTCGCATATTCGTTCATTTAGCAGTCTCTATATTGTTTACCATGTTACTTTCAATATTCGATGACTTTTAAACAACATTAACACTATCTAATTGACTGTGAACAATGTTGTACTTTGATAGTCATTTGCTGCTTGTATGGTTTACCTATTTACAATTTGCAAAGAACACTTTACTGAAATTATATTATAAAGGAGAATATCCGAATATAAAACTTTACCTCTATAAAACTGATACCGATTCTATTTAAACCCTGTTTGTCAGGGTTGTGTTCACTTAAACACACACAAACACCAATAAAGAGATTTCAAATCACTGGAAAGCCATTTTGAAGGTTATCAAAGGGACAGTATACCCCAAAATTTCTTCTTAACTTTAATCAAGTTTTACTTTTGAACATAAAACAATATATAATGAAGAATGTTTGGAAATAAGAAGCTATTTTACATCAAAAGTAGAAACATAAGTGATACACTAGAAGTAATTTAGAATTATGTAGTTTTTTCTTCATTATATCACTTGGGTAAAGTTGTTGCACATTCGTTCAGTGACATGTTTCCTGTATTGTTTACCATGGTACTTTGAATATTCAGTCTGAAATCACCTGTAAAAATGACTTCAAAGTAACATTTAGCACTATTTAATTGACTAAAAAAGTACTCTGATAGTCACTGCATGCATATATACAAACTGCACTGACACCGTTTCAATTTACTAGAACTTTACTAGAAGTAAAAGTGGTAGAAAAATTAAGGTGAATTGAAATAAATAAAACATTCAATAGAGACAAGTGAGTAAATGATTCAATTCATGTTTATTTCTCTAGCGCTTATACGATGTAGATTGTGTCAAAGCAGCTTAACATAGAAGTTCTAGTAAAATGTGTCAGTCCAGTTTTCGCAGTTCAGTTCAGTGTGGTGACATATTGAAAGTCTTTGGCTGCTTTGTCGCTTTAATTCATCTTTCCATGTAAAAACACACATAAAGAGCCATCAAGGCCAGAGATACGCACACTCGCATCCAAAAAAAAAAAAAAAATCTGTCGATGTGAACTTTGAGATGTTTGTAGTGGGATTCATTCACTGACCCGAAGGCCCATGACCCGCTGAATATCAACACACAACCTGTTCACCGTATCTCCTTGACCTCCAGTGTTGTAGATCTGCTGTTCAACATAGGATGAGTGTCGTTTGCTAAACCACACAGAGGCCTATGTTTGATTTCTGCTAACAGCGTCCGACTGTTCAATCCGTCTGTCTGGTGTCAGGTTCGAGGGAGGTTCCTTCCTTCCTCGCTGTGGTCTGTGTAAATGTCAACACTTGTAGTTTTCCCAGGCTGTCCGTCGCACATTCCTGAAGGCCGTCTGAAAGCGCTCGAGATGGCGAAACGCAGGAGTTTAGGAAAGCAGTGACATTTGCTCTCCAATGAGTGTCAGAGTATTTTGGAGGTTAGCAATGTTGTAACGGAACTGATTTATTGGAGTAGCATTTAAATCTTTAAATTCAGGTGCAGCATGAGTTTTTCTTTATTTGTTATGATTTTAATAGTTCATCATCAGTATTTAATAGTCTATTTAATGTAAATATAGTCTGTTTTTTAAGGTTAAAAATGTCATCTTTATTATCATCAAAAAAGTATTTAACAGTAAATATTATTTATTTAAATTTTCTTTCGACAAATAGAGGTGTCTGCCTTTTTAAGGGGTAAAAAAATCACTCGTTATAATGATGTTTTTAAAAAAAATAAGATTTTAATCTTTCTAGATGCACCATCAGTTGCGACGCTTTTAGGTGATGATGATTTTAGTAGCTAATAGGGATGATGGCATTGTCTGAATATCACGTTTAACAACTATAGCGAGACGCGATCCAGCGGTACATCGTCGATAAACTGTCCGGCGTGCACTGCTGTGCGTTTTTAGCGGACGGAGGGCTGTTCAGAAATGCTAGGTAAAACACGGTGTGGATGTGGATACATTTTTGTTTTAAAATGCCATTTTAACACTAAGACGTATTAGTGTAAACGGGGCCTGAGTGTGTATTTTTCGGAAGCGGGTTTGCGATGGGGGCAGGGCGGAGGATTGGCAATGCTGGCTAAAGCCTGGTTTATACTTCTGCGTCAAGTGACTGGCGTGACCCACGGCGCATGCAACGCGCGCAGCTGTGCATTTATACTTCTGCATGCTGTCTCTGATGGTCTGCATTAACACTTCTGAAAGACTAGTTGGCAGTGAGGTGTAAATCTTCCTCTGTGTCGAGTTTCTTTGCTGCTTTTCCTGAACACTTCCTGGATGTACAAGTGGCTCAAACTCGCTCATTTTGAGGCAGGAACCGGCGGACGTGCAACAACTTTAACTATGAGGTAAACACAAAACAAAACTTTCCATCAGGAGCTCCTTCACGGGACTCCACACTTGTAAACAATCGCTCCATTGGGCTCGCGTCCAGCTCGCGGCCATTCACGCGGCTCTCTGTCCCGCCCAGACTCGTCAGCGCTACCAAGCCGACCAATCAGAGAGCTTGCGCTATGCGTCGTTGCGACGTGTAGTTACAAATTTTGAGAGGTGCACGTCAGTGACGTCGACGGCCACGGCGAAGAGCTATGTGTCAGCGCTGTAGCATACGCCGGCGTTTGACGCAGAAGTATAAATCAGCCTTTAGCGTCATGTTGCCAATTGGCCAATGATAGCATAGTCTATCGGCCCAATCAGCTATTAAGTATTTAATTGTCCGATTCTTGTTGTTGATGAATGAGGGCAGGGTTCAGATTTATACTTGCTCTGCCAAAGTTTTCGCTGACCCCACCAAAAAGCAAAAAAAAAAGTTAATAGCTATATCTTAGCCACATACATGTTTTCCGCTACATTCATTCTTCCGTGGCGGGGCGCCACACTAAAATTCGTCCCGCCACGGCTACATTACAGCTTCTTATTCAAAATGTTCAATCGTTTTTTAAATAGCGGGTTAAAATCGCACCGAAAACATATTAAAGGCTAAGTGAATTATAACAGCGCAAACTTTTCTGTGACCATAGTAGTGCTGTACGTTGTGTTTAACCCTTCGAGGTGAAGTGCTGACTGACTTGACAGGTGCGTGATGCGCGATTCTAGCAAACACGGCGTAGCTTTCAGTTGTGACGAACATGCTTTATTTATAGATAAAGGTGTGTAGCTCTACATATAATGACTTTATCTTGCTGGAGTTTATAGCCGTTTCACTTTACTTCAGGATGCATTAATGCCGCGGTCCGCTCCGCAAGTCTATTAGAGACATTCATAAATATTCATAGCAAATCTAATAAATGTTGGAGACATACTCGGTACATAACCGCACTAAATCACACTTCAGCCACGTTTATTTGAGGGCGCAAGAGAATTTGCACATGAGCAGCATATATTTGAGGGCGCGCAAGAAGTTTTGTACACGAGCAGAGGAAATCGGCGCTCAAGCAGAGACTGACATGCTCGTAGGCTATTACATGAATGCGATCTCGACGTAATACTGCGCCCATGACATTTGTCAATGAAATAACGCCACATGTAGTGGTAGATCTGTGTAAAATGGCCAACAGAGTCTGCCGCCACAGCTGGAAAAAACCCAAGAGGAAACACTGACATATTTAAAATAATGTGTCAAAAGCCGAACATAACTTTATACATGCGCTTTTTATTCAGCGTGACATTTCTTTAAATATTACGGACAATTGAGTGGCGCAGTGGGTAGGACTGTTGCCTCACAGCAAATGGGTCGCTAGTTTGAACCTGGGTCAGTTCAACACGACCTCACGGCAATTCGTACAATTTACTACGACTTGCTCATCCCCCAATGACAATTGGGTTTAGGGCTGGGCTTAAATGCCTCCTTTTTAAAATCGTACAGTTTCGTACAACTGAACTCGTACGAATTTGTACGAATTAGCCTCTAAATTGGCAAAACATAAAATACTTACGTTTTCTCGTGAGATCAGGCTGGGTCAGTTGGCGTTTCTGTGTGGAGTTTGCATGTTCTCCCTGTGTTGGTGTGGGTTTCCTCCGGGTGCTCCGGTTTCCTCTACAAGTCTAAACACATGCGCTGTAGGGAAATTGACGAACTAAACTGGCGGTAGTGTTTGAGTGTGTGTGTGTGTGTGTGTGTATGTGTGTGTGTTTGTGTATGTGTGTGTGTCTGTGTGTGTTTGTGTGTGTTTGTGTGTGAACGAGTGTGTATGGGTGTTTCCCAGTACTGGGTTGTAGCTGGAAGGTCATCCACTGTGTAAAACATATGTTGGATTAATTGGCGGTTCATTCCGCTGTGGTGATCCCTGATGAATAAAGGGACTAAGTCGAAGGAAGATGAATGAATGCATGATAAACAGTGTCACAACAATTATCCTATACTGATGCAAGTATCTGCTGTATCCCTTCTAGAACTAAACCCTCAGCTTCCTATGATGCATTGCAGTTATGCGTTTAATCTTTTGATAAGAGGTCAAAGGTCAACTGAGCATCTTACTATATGCCGCAGGAATAGTGTGTGTGGTGACCTTCGACCCCTGGTGCTGCTGTATGTAAATTCTGCAGTGTGTTAGTAGAGTTGAGCTGCTCTTATTGGAGGACTGAGGGTTTGTTTGAACACACTCATTGATCCTGACACTGAGCTCATAACACTCCACTGACCAATCACAGCACAGCGTGGTCATCTGACCGCTCTGATCCACCAATGAGAGTGTTGATATTGGGTTGTTTGTCGGAGGTTGTTGTTGTGGTGTGTTTTACGGACGATCTGTGCTGCTGTTTGTTTGTCCAGCACAGACACATGATGACTTTCATTTCTGAGAAGCAGATGATGACGACCACACACTTATTATTGACTTTTATTTACATTTTATTGTTATGAATTCAATTCAAACATATATATATTACTGTTATATTTAATCTATTATATTTAATATGTTATATTTAATATATTACTGTTTTATTTACATTTAATTTAATTCAGATTTTAGTTTTGTTTAATTTTATTCTTGTTCTAAATGTTATTATAATGGCAGCGCTAAATCTAAAGTAAAACTTGTATATTATTATTATATTGCTTCTAATATTTGATTTTTATTTTGAGATCAGTTCTTTTGTAATGACTTTACACTAACCATAAAATAAAAACTTTAATCTATTACTGTTTTATTTGCTTTTATTTAATTTTTACTTTAATTCTAAATTTCATAAGGACTTAAAATAACACCCGTTTTGACCCTTAAATAAAACTTTAATTGCTGTTATAAGATTTCTCTTTCAGTTTAGTTGTTTAGTTTAGTTTTTTGTTTTATTTTATTGTAATTTTGTTTTTGTTCTACATTTAATTATGATGACACTAAACCTACAATAAAACTTTAAAAATCAATGTTTTATTTGATTTATTTAAGTTTAGTTTGTTATAAATAATTTTCTAACAACTTAACGCTAATCTTCTATTTTAAGTTTAATTTACTTTTTTGTTCCAACTTTAATTATTATGACTTAACAATGAACCTAAAATAAAACTTTAATACAATACTGTTTTATTTACTTAATTTAATTCAGATTTTAGTTTTATTTTATTTTATTCTTGTTATAAATTGTATTATAATGGCAGTGCTAAATCTAAAGTAAAACTTGTATATTATTATTATATTGCTTCTATTATTTGTTTTTATTTTTGAGATCAGTTCTTTTGTAATGACTTTACACTAACCATGAAATAAAAACCTTAATCTATTACTGTTTTATTTGCTTTTAATTAATTTAGATTTAGTATTTTTGTTTTAGTTCTAAATTTCATAAGGACTTAAAATAACACTTGCTTTTTGACCCTAAATTAAAACGTTAATTGCTGTTATAAGATTTCTCTTTCAGTTTAGTTGTTTAGTTTAGTTTTTTGTTTTATTTTATTGTATTTTAATTTTTGTT